ATGGATGAAGGTTTTGTCTCCTTCCTCGTGTTGACCAGACAGAACGTGTTTTTGCCTTTGTGCGAGTTGAGCTGGACGCAGGTTCCAGTTTACTGCCGACAATCCTCAGAGAGTGAAGCTGTGCCAAACGTGGGTTAAATAGCCGGGCTTGCGTTAACTGAAGCTACGCACATTTTCAGAAGTTTATTAAGTCGTTTTGATATTTTGATGTTAAATAGCTTAGTAAGAATAATAATATTGATTTAAAAATCTGATGAAATTCTCTGACTTGGAACATCAGTTTGGGGAATTGTGGGGTGGGCGGGGCTTTGAAGACTCATGTTCATATGGTAATGATTTACTTTATTTCTTATGATTATTAAATACACAACAAACACAAAACCTAAACTGTCAGAAACTACAGACACTGTATGTGTAGATCAGAGATCCTACAGGATGCAGACCGGAGCTCGACGGATAATTAAAAAGTTAAATGTCCTGATTCCAAAAGCGACGCGTTCAAGGCCAAAGTCCTGTGTAGTAAAATACACATGTGACTAATAAACATCCGAATCAGTAGCTGGATAAAAACCACACACACTTTGTAGACACATATCGTGACCTGATGGTAAACAGGATACAAAGCATGAAGAAATTAAACGTTTTCCAAAGTCGAATTCTTTCAGTTTTTTAATTCCTTTGAATTTTGAAGGACACAGAAAACTTTTACATCCACCAAATTCACAAATGTGTGTTAGGACGACACGTTCAACACGTCCAACACGTCCAACATGCTCCGCTTTAACATTTATTGAATGTCCAACAAGGACGCTGAGAGCAGAGCAGCCTCGACCTCGCAGGTGAAAAGAAGAGTCCAAACCACGAGGACCATGAATGCCTCCAGTTCATTTTATGAAGGTTATTGGCGTCATCAGTGCTGTTAGATTAATACTTGAACTAAGCCTTAAAATATTTTCCAGTTCTGTGCTTTTGTTTCATAAATGATGCTGATATGTTCACAGAGGTTTTACTGATGATACCGTTTGTAGCCAGAAAACTCAAACTGATGGCACTAACATCGTGATTCCTCGTGAATAATTTCAGCACAAATAATGTTTCAGCAGAAGAGATCTGAATGTATTTAATGAACGTAACAGTGGATTGGCAGACGCATGTTGTAGTAGGTGGAACAGGAAGTGCTGTGCGTGTCACAGACGTCAGTACCCCAACAGAACCAGGAAACAGCCAATGAGTCGAGGCTTTACTGGAGACACAGGGTTAACGCACAGAACTGATCTGTGTTGTTTGCACATTGACACACAACACTGTTAT